AAAAAAAAAAATGCAGTATGAGAAGCATGGCCTCTTTTAGTTTTGCTTCAACTTCACTCTTCTCTGTGGCTGGGTGGTGAACCAATAACAGCACATGTAAGTGTAGTCCACAGATGTGTTGTAGCACGTAACATTTATACTGCCCACATTTGGGCAGTCCATGGCTGCCGACAGTTTACCCTAACCACAGCGAAACCATAATCTCCCTTTTAGTGTGACGTTCGTTTTTACTGAGGCGTCTCCACCTTTCTCCACAGGTGGACTGTCTGGTGGTGCAGCTGCATCGCATCGGAGAGCAGCTGGAGAAGGCGGACAACCAACGGATGAATGACCTGTTCTTCCTGCTGCGGGACGGCTTTCTGCTCCAGGAGGGCCTCTCGTCCATGGCCCGCCTGCTGCTGCTGGAGATCCTGGAATTCAGGGCCGGAGGTTGGATGCTCAGCAGCACCGCTCACAAGTACTACTACAGTGAAATAGCTGACTAGGACTCAAGGAGCAGGGCGCTGAGCACTAGAGCCTTCAAGCACCTTGGACACTACTCAAGCGCCACTGATTACAAAACCAGCTTTTTGAGGATAGATAGCAATATCCTCCAAGCAATCTGAGGAGGAGTTTGAGAAGATGGTGATTTCTCTAAAAAGACTAATACAATGTTCCTGACGCGTGCTGTGGAATGTGCAATAGGTCACGCGGAGCTGAAGTTGAGTTAACGAGGTTTGACCACATTCAGGTTCACTTTGTTTCAAAGACGTTTGTGTTCAGGTTTGATGCAGCCAGAGGAGCTGAGGCAACTTTTTGTTTTGTTTTTTTACATTTTTAATCATTCTAGCATTCCTGTTTTGAGAGAATATGGCAACCTTAGTTTACCAAATCCAAATAACATTCCAGTCAGATAAAACCTGATTTAATTATTTTGATATTTTAGTGTAAACTTAACATTTTGAAAAGGTTTTAAATTGCGATGGGAAGAGTTTCTGCTTACTTTGTCCTGTAAAATCCTGTTAGCGATCAGTTTGGCAGAGTCTCAATTCAGGGATTTATTTTATTTTTTTGTTTCTAACAGCAGACCGAGCGATTGGTTAAACCGCTTTTCTGCAGAAACATCAGATTCCTTGATATAAAATATTTGTTAAACAAGCTGTGCCGATATAACTTTAATACCATCACATGGTACCAACGACTCCATAAAGACTGACATGTTTATTTTTACCTTGAGAGGCAGAGGGATCTGTTTTCTTCTCCTTTATCGGAGCTCCTTTTGCAGGTCAGTTATGATTGCAAAGCTCATAAAAAGTGTTTTTTTCAAAACGATTTAACTTCTCTTTACACCAGCAACACTACGTTTGATAGTCCACCATGGCTTTCAGGAGTTTGCTCAGGCACAGGTGCCGTGCTGTTAAAATATTACATCTTTCAAATGTGGTTGTTTTCGTAACCACGATCTGTAGAATGTATGTTGAAATTTGACTTTAAGGCATTCTGACAATGATAAA